TATATATATATATTTTCGGTAAGTGGGTACAATTCGGTTTTATGAACCAAATCTTCTTTTCATTCAATAGAATATCCGGTCTGGTCCGGTCTGGTCCGATCTGGTCGTACCGGTTTTGGTTCAATTATTTGGGATCTGGTTTACTTCAGTTAGGTAGCTTTGGCATTGAAATAAATATTTAAATTTAAAATGGTTGAAACGTCTATAATATACAGGTAGGTAGCATCAACGGCGTGCGTCAACCGGCTTTCTGATGGAAGAGAAGTAGATACAAAGTTTCACAACCTCTCTTTATTATTTATAAAATTTATAATTAATTATATAATAATTTGTAATCCTTCGTGGCAAACGTTTTGAGATTTGATCCACGAAATGTTTTTTTTCCCCCAAAGATTTTCAAATGGTCAAATTGGTACGACTTCAGAATTTTATTTCGTTTTTAACGTGTTTTATAGTAGTAGTATAAGTTGTCGAATTGTTATGAATCATTAATATGCAAAATACGGTTTAGAAGAACCACGTTGCCTAGAGAAATTAATTAATCATTTGGTCATATTATTTATTTTTTCTGGTTAAGAAAAGAATTGCAAAATGCACTTTTTAAATTTTTTTTTTAAAAAAAGTGGGTTGTATTTAAAGATTGTTTAACTAGAAATATATGTATTAATCAAATTAGAAAAATTACCAGTAAAATATCGATGTAAACAAGATATGTCCGGAAAAAAACTTGATAAAAGGCAAGAAATGCGCTCTAAGTATTTTTAATAAAAATACTTACTTTTGCATTTGGATATCTTAAGTTGAATTTTGAATCTTCTAAATATGAAGCTACAACAGTTCGAATTTTAGAAATATTATAACAATCATTAGAAATTAAATTTAATAGATTATTTTTAAATCGATTTGTTAATAATTTTGGGGATGGAAAATAAAATCGGCAAGTGGCAAGTATAAATACGGTTCCTGAGATCAGAGGAAGGTAAGAAGGTCCCGAGTTGGTGCGCTAACTAGAGAACCTGAAGCTCCTCTCTCTCTCTCTCTCTCAATCTCAACGGTACGATCCGTCATTCGCTCATAGCTAATCCTTCTTCTTCTTCATCCTCTCGTTGTGCTTTGATTCGTGTGCATTTCTTCGACATTTGTGTTTGAATCCTTGGAATCTGAAGGTCTGTTCATGTCGATCCATTCTTTGCGTGGATAGGGTCTGAAACTCGGTTTTTCTCTTGCGGCATTGTGGTCGGTTTGATGTTTCGCGTTTGTGTTTGGGTTTGAATCGTCGTTTTTGGTTCGAATCGTGAAAGTTATTGGTTTGGGTTGAAATCGTTTGCGATCTGAGTGCGAAATGAGCGTTGTGTGTTCGATTTCTGTTTTATGTCGATTGTCGAGATGGATCTGGGATATTGATTTGATTTTGCGGTGTTCTTGTCTCGTCTCCGTGTTGTTTCCCTTGCCCCTGGCGAAGAAATGGCTCGCAAGAAGATCAGAGAGTACGATTCAAAGAGATTGTTGAAGGAGCATTTCAAAAGGCTCTCCGGTAAAGAGTTGCCCATCAGATCTGCTCAGGTTAGATCGATTTTCTTGGATCTCTCTCTTTCAGTCTGCTCGCATTTCATGCATTGGTTTACCTGGCGATACTGTTTTATAGCTTCATGAATCTCGATCGATATGAATCATATAACGCTGCAGCATTTGGCAAAATTTTCGCTCTTAAATTTCAAATCCCTTAATTTTACATGGATGGGGTGAATATCTTTGATTTTGCCTTTCGTGGGCATAAACCATAAACATCTGTTCTCCAAGCCGTTGTTTATGATGATTGCATGAGCATCTTGTATGAGACTTATTCCATTTATGTTTTTTCTTTCTTAAGTTCTGTTTTGTCTATTAACAATGTTTTCATTTGTTCTCCCAAAGGCTGTATGTAAGGTTTTTATCCTTCTGTGTGTCTAGATTAATGAAACAACTGACCTGAATGAGCTCGTGGAGAAGGAGCCTTGGCTCTCTTCTGAGAAGCTGGTGGTGAAACCCGACATGTTGTTCGGAAAGCGTGGCAAGAGCGGTTTGGTTGCCTTGAATCTGGATTTTGCTGAAGTTGCCACTTTTGTGAAAGAGCGTCTGGGAAAAGAGGTAACTGTTTTCAGTTGAACTTCTTGCATTCATCACTCAAGAAACCATTTTTTTTTATGTTGAATGTTTTTTCCTTGCGATCTGCAGGTGGAGATGAGTGGATGCAAAGGACCTATAACAACATTCATAGTTGAACCATTTGTCCCGCACAATGAGGAGTTTTACGTTAATATTGTCTCGGATAGACTTGGGGACAGCATAAGCTTTTCAGAATGTGGAGGGATTGAAATTGAAGAGAACTGGGACAAGGTACCTTGGGAGAGTGCACATGTTCTTCTTTCATATAGTTGTCGATTTAGGTCTATTCACTGAATTTTAGAGCTGAGAATTGAGCCGAGGCTTTGTGTTCTACAGGTCAAGACTGTTTTTGTACCAACAGGTGCTTCCCTAACACCTGAAACATGCGCTCCTCTTATTGCGACCCTTCCTTTGGAGGTAATATAAGTGCCGTCGATGGCTAAACAGGAACCGAGGTTCTCATTTGATTTTTAGATTTGGACATTATAAACTACATGAATCTGCGGTTTTGATTTGAAATTTACTACATGCAGATCAAGGGGGAAATTGAAGAATTTATTAAAGTTATTTTCACCCTATTTCAAGGTTTGCGGAGAATCATTGATCAAGATAAAGCATTTTTTACCTTAATTTGAGAAAGTTTGAACCTTTGCAATAACTGAAAGTTTTTGTTCTTTCTGTGGTGCACCAGATCTTGATTTCACCTTCCTGGAAATGAATCCCTTCACGTTAGTTGATGGAAAGCCATATCCTCTGGATATGAGGGGTGAACTTGATGATACCGCTGCTTTCAAGAACTTCAAGAAGTACGTTTCACTGCCGATTCTTTTAATGATCAGATCTTCTCTTTCTGTCTGCAAAATATGAAGTTTACAATCCTTCTTGCTGCCATATACAAGTGATATGATTAGATTCTCTCATGTGCAGGTGGGGCGACATTGAATTTCCTATGCCATTCGGAAGAGTGTTGAGTTCCACGGAAAGCTTTATCCATGGACTAGATGAGAAGGTAGCATCATCACCTTAACACGACTAAGTCAATAATTCTATCTGCTTTACCCTATTGTCAAAGATTTTTAGTCCTTTTCCCTCGTAGTCTTTGTCCACAGTTCAGCATAGTTTCAAACATATTGTTCTTTGCTCTCGAACATGTTCTGTTATCTTATATAGTAGCTTGTTCTATTCACCATGACCAAGGTTCCTTTGTAGCAGTTAATCATATCAGAAATGCCGATCTATGAAAAGAGCATTTCATTCGGTTTCTTACGTATCGTATGCTTGCAGACAAGTGCATCTTTGAAATTCACCGTTCTCAATCCCAAGGGGAGAATTTGGACAATGGTAGCTGGGGGAGGTGCCAGTGTCATCTATGCTGATACTGTATGTTTCTCACTTGCTTACTCAGTTTCACAATCATGTCTGCTTTTCGCCTCACGAGTCTTAGCTGAGGTATCTATAAACATTTCTGATTTAGGTCGGAGATCTCGGCTATGCTTCTGAACTAGGCAATTATGCTGAATACAGTGGAGCTCCCAAGGAAGATGAGGTCTTGCAGTATGCCAGAGTCGTTATCGATGTAAAACAAATAGCAATTTTTTCTCATACATCTTATGCGTTAGAAAACAGCACCTGTGCTAGTCACATCAGCTGCAAAAATAACTCTTACGATACAAAATTACCGCAGTGTGCTACAGCAAACCCTGATGGCAAAAGCAGAGCTCTTGTGATCGGAGGTGGAATCGCAAACTTCACTGACGTTGCTGCTACCTTCAATGGCATAATCCGCGCTCTCAAGGAAAAGGTAGAGACAGGACAGAACCGATATAACCTTCATAACTCAGCGTTACTTGAGATCGAATACAATGAAGCTCGTAGTTGTCGTTATTACACACAAAAAAAAAAGAGTAAAAAAAAAGAAAACGTTTTTTGATGCATCTTTTAACGAATTTCTGCATTTCCCAGGAAGCAAAGCTGAAAGCAGCAAGGATGCATATATTCGTGAGGCGAGGGGGACCAAATTACCAAAGGGGTCTTGCCAAAATGCGAGCTTTGGGCGAAGAAATCGGCGTCCCGATCGAGGTATATATCACTCTACAAACTCACTCATTTCATTTCGCATCGGTCTGAACGAAACATCTGAAACATAACCCTGCTTTAGGTCTATGGTCCTGAAGCAACCATGACAGGCATCTGCAAGGAAGCAATCCAGTACATCACAGCAGCAGCATAAGTGTCTGTCGATTTATTCGTCCCCCCAAATGGTTAGCTTCAAAAATCCCACGAGTTTTTTTTCTTTCTAGTTTACTGATATTTAGATCTGATATTATCCCTACGATCAAATCAGCGGTTTCATGAGAAAAGCTCTTTGATTGGATTCTCGTTACCTGGGAAGTTTCTTGAGTTGGATGAACATTGATGACGCCATCATGTCTCTGTGTGTTTCAAGCTTTTTTGTTTGTCTCTGTCTTTGATTCGATCCTTAGTTCTTTCTATCTCTACTATGGCCTTTTGAGTTTCTGTGTTTGGTGATAGAAAATGTAATAAGCAATGAATGCTGTGGCATTAGCGTATGACAAAAAATCAGGTGTCGGACTGATCCTCGGTCGCGGAGCGTTTGCTGAATTCATTCTCCACTTCGTTATCCTTTGCCCAATTTTATTCTATGCTTATATTAATTGCCGAAATTGTTTTTTTAGAAAGAAAAGGTTAAACAAAATCGAATATTTTTTTTAGTGAGTGTTTAATAATAACCGGAATTTTAGTTAAATCTGAAGAAATTTTATCGAATTAAATCTAACATGAAAAAACAAATATATAAGAACCCAATAAAAAAAATGGAAAAAAAACCCAAGCTGCAAAAAAAAATATACAAATAATCTTTCAATTTGCAAAGTTATCATTGAAATCCTAAACTTGTAACATGTAATTGAATAAAACCTCAAATTTGAAAATTATTGCTTTAATAATCCGTTGACCAGTTTGACCACAATTTTATGCAATCGAAAATCTACATTGACCTGAAAAGCTGATGTCAGCGTGTCTACATAACCAACTTTAAATGATTTTTTACTCCAAAATTGGATTTATAGCATATTAAATTTCTCAAAATACTGATATGGTAAAAAATTATTTAAAATTGGTTATGTAGACACGCTGATATCAGTTTTCTGGTCCAACATAGATTTTCGATCATATAAAATTGTGGTCAAACCGATTAACGGATTATTAGAACAATAATTTGCAAGTTTGAGGTTTTATTCAATTATATGTTGTAAGTCTAAGATTTAAATAATAGTTTTATAAATTGAAGATTTATTTGTATATTTTGTTTGCGGGGTCTAAAATTATAGAAAAATCGGTAAAATGGTAGCGAAGACCCAAAAGAGTGACAAATGGATCTGGGACCACGTGGCCCATAACATAAATCTTCACTCGAAGAAATCGTCTATCAACGGTTTGCTGTTGGACTCGTTGTATGTATGTACGTATGTATGTATATATGTATGTATGTGTAATAGCGATGATTAATAAAAGTTTTTAATAATATTGTTTTTTAGAGTTTACGACTAAACCTTGTCAATGTTGTTTAACCCCTTGATAGAAAAACTCTGATGATGATGATGATGATGATGATGATGATGATGATGATGATGATGATGATGATGATGATGATGCACCGGGATCACCAAAATCGGGATATTCCCATGTGGTCTCCAATAATTATCCACTTAACTTGGGATTTCTTAAAGATTCTTTCTTTGTAAAAAATATATATATAATAAGCTCTGATCCCTATATAGCTTTTTTTATGGTGGTACAAAAAAGATGAACCCACCATATGGGTTCCCAATTCCTTTCTTTTGGGAAATGTTCTTCTTTTGTTTATAACTTTTTTACCAAAAAAAATTTCAATATAACTGAGGAAATATATGCAATTTACTTACCGATATGAAGAAATAAAAGAAATTTAGCTGTGAAAGAAAAAATAAGAACTCCGAATATATTATATCATCAGAATATTTTGTTGGGTGTATATGTCATCAGAATATTATACATAGTACTATATTTATCATAAGTGTATCCTAAATTGAAATATTGATATACACAATGGAATAAACACAACAAGTTTAGTGTAAATCTGACGTCCATTTTATTACAACTTCATGAATATTAAGATCGATTAAACACGTTTTGAAGTGGTCTGGTGAAAGATTATCGGTAAATACATAATAATTTCAAAATATTATCTAAATTTCACTTTAATAGCAATAACATTAAAAAAAATATCTATGTTTTGAAAGTAATATCGTTAAACAATTGTAGATCTATAATTAATTTTTTTTTTATAAAATCATAAATATTTCTCCATCGTCGCTCTTCTTATCTAAAAATTCAAATATTTTAAAAATGTTATATATTTATATGAAAATTTAAAGTAATAAATGTATTTACCGAGGAAAATCATGTATTTATTTGATAGATATTCGAGTATATTTCGTAGTTAAATTCGATTAGTGATGAAAATTGAGGCATTAGATATATTCTTGTGGTGATTGAAAAGGAGATATAATTAAAATTTTAAATTATTTAAAAGTTATATCGAATGTAATAAATAAAAATCCAAGCATATACTAAAGTGATTCGTTGATGTTGATATATATATATATCGTACCCGACAAATTGCTAATTATTGGTCGTTCAACTAAAGACTTTGGTTCAAACTTATTTCCACTGTGAATGCGTGTGGACAGTCCATTGGTCATTCGTTGTTTTCACAATTTTAATTTCATAATATATTTATGGGGAACTTTTTACAATAAGGGTTTTAAAAAACCTCGTACTATATACACTCTTTTTTAAAACTAAAATATAAATATGATCACCTAATCAAATTACATATTAAGTTATGATATTTTGGGTTTTTATTCGTTTTTTGATAATTTTATAAAAATGATTAAAAAAACCCATATTTATTTGGTTTGCATTAGATTTTATGTAGGTTCTGATTTTATTTGGCCTGAATTTTCATTAACAAACATATTTATTTATTAAACAATTTTCCGTTTTTGTTCTTTTTTTTACATATCTTCGTATATAATCGATATTAAAATAGAATTAAATTTAAATAGAATCATATATTATTTGGTTGGTGGTGTCGCAAAAGCCAAAAAAAAAAAAAAGAGTCTGTGAGGTAGAAGTTGAAAGAAAAAAAGCATAGGATTCCAAAATCCAAGAGCTCTTTCTCACACGTGGAGTGTCTCATGCAATGCAAGAGACATATAGTAGCTTCCTATTTTATTTTATTTTATTTTCTTCCAAGCCTATTTTTGTTAGAATAGAATTTGACATTATCCACAATTGGGATTTTCATATAGCGTACGGAAAAAAATATTATATAAAAAGTCTTTATTTTTTTTCTTAAGAAAACAAAAAAAAATAAGTTTATTATAATATGATTCATTTTTCCTCAATAAACATTTGATATGTTCATGGTGACCTACTTTATATATATATATATATATATATATATATGGAAATTCCATATTCCATTCAGTTTGAAGAATATATTTTCTTTAGATTCTAATTCGGCAAAGAAGAATTGGTATGTGGATGTCACTGACAGCACCGTAGGATAACGAAAGTAACGTACTTTTGTCCCTAATAATTAATATTATATTTCAATGGTCAAGAATATGTGAATTTTAGAGATGAATAAAAAGAAATACTATATATCAATGGGGTCAATCATTCAAAATCTTAGATAATATTATAAATATTATTAAAAAAAAAATATGCAGCTTTTCTTTTTCGAACAACTCATATCACAAATCAAAATTATATGATCCGACTAACGAGTTATGCGAATATTCGAATTTGATACGGATATCAAGTATTGTGGTAGTATAGATTTCGATTACAAATTCTTGAAAAAATAATGATAATGTTTTATTATGGATTCAATGTAAAGCATCCAAATTATTATGCGAACGGTCGAGATAGCGATCTTGCATAGAACAACACCATCAAGAGCGTTTATTCCATTTTACATAGATAGGATAAGTGAAATTTGAATGTGGGTCCAAAAAGGAAGACTTGAGGCTGAAGTCTATAGAGAAGTTGGCGGTCATTTGCAAATGTTCTCAAATAGAAAATTTAAGCTTCTCCTTTGGAAACTATATGTATAGTGTGTGTATATATATATAATATTATAAAAAAGAAACCCAACAGATCGTGTCAAATAATCAAGCTTGGGGTATGAATTATCTTGACTTTGAGATTGAGTTTTCGATTCTTGACTGGTGGGGAAAAAGATAATTTTTGGGTTTATATGATCCATATACAAAGGATGCTCCCTGATCGGAGGTTTATCTAATCAAACATGCGTCCGAAGGGTAACAGATAGAGGTCCTCCATCATAAAAAAAAAAAAAATATATATATATATATATATTATAAAAAAGAAAAGAATATATTTTTTAAAAAAATTATAAAATGTAACTTTTTGGGGTTAAAAGTAATTGTTGCGCGGCGTAAGGCTTGGGATGTTGACATGCATGCATGTGTCACCGCTACGCATGAACATGCAATAGTGAGGATGACAGATATGACACGATTACAAGGAAAGTAGTCGTCGTTACATATAATATGAGCGAAAAAATATTATTTTTTTGTAAGCAATAAAAAACGATTCTACAGGCATAGAATAATACAAATTAAACCTTAAAATCGTGATTTAATAGGTAAGTTTAATTTTTTTTATATTTGACGATATTTATTATCAGTGTTATCTCTTCTTTTGGAAATTACACTGTAAAAATTGTTGGAATTTGAAAAAATGTGATGAGAAAATGGTTAGTGGTTAGAGAATCGAGTTCTCTTTTTTTTTTTCCCATCAAACAAAAAGAAAGAAAATATTCTTTGATTATAGATTCTTAATTTTTCTCAAAATTTCCCGACTAACTAGAATTTTAAGATAAAAAAATTATTAAATTCATGGTAAAAGCAAAGAAAAGTAACCAAAATGGATAAACCTTTTGATCTTGAGAATATTAACTAATAATTTTTATAAATTCATTTTTTAAAAGAGAAAAACAAATTCCCATGCCAATGAGTTCAGATATCAACTGAGTTTTACAGAAAGCAAGAGCCGAAAACGTTACTGTACTCTGTTAAATTCTTTACCAGATCAAGAAAAAATTCAGCACATAATAATAATAATAATAATAATAATAATAATAATAATAATAATATATTTATATTATATATAACTAAAACTGTACATGGACATCTAACTCAAGTAATCACTACCGTTAGATTGGGGATTCTAACACCAATAGAACTAAACAACAAAGATTCAAAAACCACAAGAGATAAACTTTTAATCACATAATCTAAAACTGAAATCACAATCTACAATTCTAAAATAGAAATTGAGAAATTAACTGAAACGCTGGTAATTCTTAGTTGGAACCCTAGAAACTAGCCTTGGTCAGATATGGGTCAAAGAAAAAGCAACATGTATCGAAACCAGCTAACTAGCTCTTTGTATGAAGACAGTCTCAAGATCGAAAAAATTCAGCACATAATAATAATAATAATAATAATAATAATAATAATAATAATAATATATTTATATTATATATAACTAAAACTGTACATGGACATCTAACTCAAGTAATCACTACCGTTAGATTGGGGATTCTAACACCAATAGAACTAAACAACAAAGATTCAAAAACCACAAGAGATAAACTTTTAATCACATAATCTAAAACTGAAATCACAATCTACAATTCTAAAATAGAAATTGAGAAATTAACTGAAACGCTGGTAATTCTTAGTTGGAACCCTAGAAACTAGCCTTGGTCAGATATGGGTCAAAGAAAAAGCAACATGTATCGAAACCAGCTAACTAGCTCTTTGTATGAAGACAGTCTCAAGATCCGGCGGGGAGAAGAACTCACGGGCCCCGCCGCAGCTGCACTTCAACGCCGGCTTCCGCTTCTTCGGCGGCGGAGGACACGCCGGAACCACCGGAATTCTAACAGAAACCGCGGTCGGAGTCGTCGGAGACTCCTCCTCTTCCTCCTCGGCTTCGGTGGTTGGATTCGCTCGTATCGGCTTCAGCGGTGCTCGAATCGAAATTCCCGCGATGACCCATTTCTTGCCGTCGCCGGTTTCGCGTACCCCGCCGTCGAGTTGGGGTGGTTTGCCGGAAAATCCCATAGCTTTAGGAAGTTCTGGTGAAGTATCGTTTCTGGAGAAGGAAGAAAGATGAAAAGGAATTAAAAGCTTTGATCTTTCTTATGTGTTTAATGAGAGAGATAGAGAAAGAGAGAGAGAGAGAGAGAGATAAAGGGGACAAAGTGTTGTGGGTACGTTTTTATAGTCAACTAAGGATTAAAGACAAGACATCAGATCGGTGTCGATTCAGTTCGGTGAAATTTAAAAAATTTAATTATCTTTTTTAAATGCGTTCGTTCACTCCCATGAGAGTAAAGCCACTTTTATCTCGATTTATGATTTTAATTATTGTAATTAAAAAGAAATTTGAAATGGTTTTAGAGATTAAAAAAATCATTTTAATTTAAAGAAGAAAAAAAACAAAGATATAAAGGAGCAGAGGGACAGTAAGATATTGAGTTGTACTGTTTTTTCTCCCTGTTAACGTTAGAGGGGAAGGGGAGGGTACAAGGGATACATGATGTATGCATTTTTTTTCTTACGTAGATTCATAGATTTCATAAATAAGTACATAATATACATATTATATATATATATATATATATATGAACAAAAATAATGGAAGAGATATTATTCCCCGGACAAATTTAACGTGCACTAAATTAAGTAATGAAAAAAAAGGGGGGATTTAGCTTAAATACCCAACAAAAAACAACGTGTACAAAAGTGTTCTAGAAAGCTAAAGTCAGAATTCAAAAGTCAAAACCCTAGGGATAATAACGAATTAAATTTAAATACCCAACAAATGAAAAGAAAAATGTGTTATAAGTTCACTAATCTCGCACGGAAGAAAAATGTGTCGTTCTACTGATTGTTTCTAAAATAAAAACATGTTCTAATGTAAGGATACACATAGCAATTTACCCAAGATCGGTAAAGAAAATGAGTAAAGGTGTTTCCCAATCCGTGTTTGAATATTCAATTAGGGAAGAGAATTCACATGGATTTCTCCGATTCTCCGAAAAATATAGTTAGATCAAAAGTATTATCAACTCCAAACTTTAAAAAAATTGCTTCAAATAAAAAAAAACACCCATTCATTTCACTATATATACATAATATATATACAGGCACTCAATCCTTTAAAAGGTCATATGCGGTAAACTTGTATAAGATTACTTTCTATAAATATATATATATATATATATATATATACGTGTGTGTGTATAAACCATGCACATCAAAACAATTGGAAACTTCATATATATAGCTTGATCTTTCTATATATAATTAATACATATGGTATGATTATGACCATATGGACTGAACACCCAAAATGCCAATAACACTAGGAGAGTTTCTCCAAAAAATTTCACAAGTTACAGGGAAAAAAAAAGAGCAACATAAATGACAAATGTTATAATATTATATACAAAAATATAATGAGGAGAGAGACATCAGAGAAAGGTACCCGAGGAAACGCGTGACCCAAGCGAGGTGGGTTTAAATAACACTTATTTAATGTTTTTTTTTTATAATTTTGTTTTGTATATTTATTAATTTTTGTAGTTCTTATATATATATATAGACAATATAATATAATTTCCGTATCATGTAGTTAATGAAGTAACGAGGAGATAGGGAGTGGTCAGACCTTTGGACCGCTCGATTAAATTCGCTGAATCGTCATTTGTTGACATTTTGACTTTGATTGTCAACGATCTCTCTCTGTCTTTGGGTATGGTTTTACACAGTTTAATTCTAATTCGGCAATAACATTAAAATAAACCGAATATATATAATAGAATTGGATCTATGATATTTTACGTGCCGAAATTATGTAAGAAAATTATGGATATTCTTAGAATATAATCCAAAATAGCTTATGGCTTTTAAAGATCTATAAATGAGATCATATATATGATGATAACCTTCAAGGTTATAAACAATTATTGATTTTGAATAAAATACGAAAATGGGACTAGAACATGCGTTCTTTTAGGCAACATTTTTTTAATGGGTTCTGAAATATTTCATATAAATATCAAATATATATATATATATATAATTATATACATGTTGAATTTTAATCATTATAGAATTTTGACCAACACATATCTTAATCTTAACAAAACAATGGCTTTTGTTGAACAATAATATATATATATATATACACATATATCATGAACATTGATCTACACATATATTAATGAACTGTTAATGCAAGATGAACAAGAACTATGCTCATGATACATTGAGAAGACCACCATCATAACGTACACATGAACCAGTGGACATACTTATTGGGCCTGTTTGGCCTTCCAGTTCTTGTATTTGGGCCTTTTAAGGCCCAAATATATAACTTTTTGAATTTGTGTACTCGTGGCTGTTTCAATATAAAAGAAATAATTTTATTCGGCGTAGGTCCAATTATAATCCAAAGTGAAATTAAGTTGGGATTGGTACTGAATCTTTATAATTTCATTTTATATAAAAATTGCAAAAAATATGATATCAAATCTACCTCCTAAGTTTTTCTTACTCTGAAATATTTTCTAATTGTATTGCGAACAAAAAATGAGTTTTTTTTTTAGAGGCAGCAAAAAAAACGATGGAATATGTTTTTGTGGTGAAATAAAATCAATGTTTGCAAAAACGATGAAAATGAAAGGAATGGTAAAATGGGGAAACTCAAAACGTCACCGTTTTAATAGAATCTAGAAACTCAAAGCAATCTCTCTCTCTCTCTCTCCCATCGAACAAGAAATAGTCAGATCGTGAAAGATCACTGCAAAAGACAATTGCGACATGGAAACTTCGAGCTCTGCAAGTTGTAGCTCAGATGCGCGGAGATTCTTTCTCTAGATGCTCCTTTTCGACCTCTTCGTCCAGACTTTCGATTTCATTCAGATCTCGCCGTTTCCGATCTGATTCGCGATCCTAGCACCATCGCCGACGCTCAATGGCAGGGGCGGCCTCCGCGCTGTTTCTGCTCGACATCAAGGGACGGGTTCTCGTGTGGCGTGACTACCGCGGAGATGTCTCCGCCGTTCAAGCCGAGCGCTTCTTCACCAAGCTCATTGAGAAAGAGGTGAAAAAACTCGATTTGGTTTTAGTCGTATGTGATTTGGTGTTTGGTCGATGACAAAATGCTGAGAAATTCGAGGTTGTGAAGGGAGACGATGGATTTGTATCTAATTCTCTGAATATAATTCGAAGCGATTGGAAGTAATGGATGAGTTCGATCCGTAGTTAAGTGATTGACATTTGATGAGAACGCGATCTGCATCGGCGGAACTTTTGGCAATCCCCAATCCAATGGAGCAGCCTTTTGTTTCTGAGAAAATGGAGGAAAATTAGTTGTAAATGCAAATCATGGATTTGTATGAATGTGTTCTCCGATTAGGATTTGAAACGATTGGAAGTGATGAATGAGTTTGATCCTTTCTTAAGCGATCGATATTGGATTAGAATCTGATCTGCAACGGTTTAATCCTCGATGTTTTCCGATTGAATTGAGCGGAATTTCTTCTTGTGGGTTGTGTTATGGTACAGGGTGATCCACATTCGAATGATCCGGTTGCTTATGATAATGGAGTGACCTACATGTTTGTACAGCATAGTAATGTTTACCTGATGATAGCTTCGAGGCAGAACTGTAATGCTGCCAGCCTTCTCTTCTTCCTTCACCGTGTAGTTGATGTAAGCATACTTGTTAAATTTCTCTGTTTTGTTTTGTTCTGCGTATCTTTATAGAAGGATAAAGAACACAACTTTACAGTTTCATATGAACCGGGCTCATTCCCGTGGTTCCTGTACCGAATACAGGTATTCAAACATTACTTCGAGGAGTTAGAGGAGGAATCACTGAGGGATAACTTTGTGGTAGTGGTATGTTAAGGCTTCATCCATCTCTCTTGTTTATATCTTTTCTCTCTAGATTTGTTATTTATCTCTTTTGTAGTTCGGATTGCGGGTTTTATTTGTTGGATTCTGAAATGGTTTTCCGTTTCTGGGCAGTACGAGTTACTTGATGAGATGATGGACTTTGGTTACCCTCAGTACACTGAAGCAAGAATCCTAAGTGAATTCATCAAGACCGATGCATATAGAATGGAAGTTACACAGAGACCTCCAATGGCTGTTACCAATGCTGTGTCTTGGAGGAGTGAGGGGATACAGTACAAGAAGAATGAGGTATGTTTTGTTCTCAAGCAACAATCTTTTCTCTTAGGTTTGCAAATGATGGTAGACTGCTCATCTGTTTTCAGGTTTTCTTGGACGTTATAGAAAGTGTGAATATTCTTGTCAACAGTAATGGGCAAATTGTCAGATCTGATGTTGTTGGAGCCCTGAAGATGCGAACTTATTTGAGGTGTGTCAGCACATCAAGTTTTCCATAGTGTTCCCTATCAACTGAAGTAGAGAACAAGAGAAAGTCAAACTCTAAGCTCCTCCTCTTTGATCTCTTTCTCGGCTTTGTTTTTTGACTATTTTGTCCTGAATCCATGTTATTGCAGCGGAATGCCGGAATGTAAGTTAGGTCTGAATGATAGAGTATTGTTGGAAGCACAAGGACGGGCAACAAAGGGAAAAGCCATAGATTTGGAGGATATCAAATTCCATCAGTATGTTTCAGATAGAAAGCATTCAATGCTTGAATCATATATATTTTCCGTCCTCAACTCAACAAGTAGTTTTTTAATATAGGTGTGTTCGATTGGCCCGTTTTGAAAACGATAGGACGATATCCTTCATACCACCCGATGGATCTTTTGATTTAATGACTTATAGACTCAGTACTCAGGTTTGGCTTCTGGAATATATAGCTATGTTCATAGTTATCTTTCCCTCATCAACAAGTATTCATCTTCTGCTATCCTTATTCAGGTAAAGCCTCTAATTTGGGTCGAAGCTCAGATAGAGAGGCATTCGAGAAGTCGTGTTGAGATGCTTGTTAAAGCTAGGAGTCAGTTTAAGGAGCGAAGGTAAAAATATCTACTACTACATCATGCGACACTCTTTGTCATCGGTATATATATATCAAGATTTTCTTTAGCTCGGCTTCTTGAAATATTTGGATGAGAATGTCATGTCCTCTCTTCTGCAGTACGGCAACGAGTGTTGAGATCGAGTTGCCTGTACCGCAAGATGCATCTAACCCTAACGTTCGGACATCTCTCGGGTCTGCTGCCTATGTTCCCGAAAAGGATGCCCTCGTCTGGAAAATCAAATCTTTCCCCGGGAACAAGGTAGAGGCACTTTCTAATTCTATCTCAATTCTTGTATTTTGATATTATTATCTCCGCAAGTCAAGCAATTTCAAAGTAGCAAGTTCCATTCATCTGATTCTGGAAACAAATGCAGGAGTACATGTTGAGGGCAGAGTTCCATCTTCCCAGTATAACCGCGGAAGAAGCAACACCCGAGAGAAAAGCTCCCATCCGCGTCAAATTCGAGATACCGTATTTCACTGTTTCGGGAATTCAGGTATCGATTAACTCCTTCACATGTCCACGAACCATTCATATCATACATAGATCATAATCCTATCACATGGACCGACGCTAACGTTCACCTAAATCGTATCTACTTAAGAATGTTTCGTCGTGTATTTTTGTTGTCGGTCGGGTTGTAGGTTCGTTACCTGAAGATAATCGAGAAGAGCGGGTACCAGGCTCTTCCATGGGTGAGATACATAACCATGGCTGGTGAGTACGAACTAAGACTCATGTAAGTTGGGATTTTTTGTCTTTGGCAACTCTCGCCATTGTCATTCCCTTACCCATGTGGAATCCCCTGAAGCAACGAGCAAAGGGACAATATTCTACACAAAAAAAAAAAAGGAACGATTTGTTTAGAAGCAAATGTTCTTGTGAATTTTCACTGCTTTTTTCTTTTACATGCACATTTTTCTTGATGTAAGATCTTCACCATTGTTTTTTCTTCTTTCTGTGCGTTTGCGTTGGAAAATGGTGAAACAGCGAGTTTTTTTTTTTCTTCTTTTTGTGGTTTCGGGGGCATTGGTTTCTGTTCTGTAGTCTGTAGATGTCATGGTGTGAAACGACACGTAGTTTGAACGAATTTTTGGCTAACGACACGCAGTCTTTCCCTTTCTTTATAATGCAAAGAATATAACATTGGACGCCATAACTAGTTTGGTTTCTAAATGCTCTTATATTTTCCACGAAAAAAACATTTTGTGCATATGTTAAAGTGTATTTACCAGATTCATGTTTGAATTTTAACAATATAATTGTTATTCTTACATGATTGATATATACGTGTATATATATATATATATATATATATATTGGATTTGACATTTCGATTATCTAGATTGGTTGTTTTAAGGGAAAGTTAAAACAAATTTATATTCATTAGAATCTTGAATATTATAATATTCTTATTCAGTTAGTACTTGAAATTTTCCTTTTAAAGTACGGCTAATTAATTTTGTTTTCGATGTTCACATTTAGGATTTTTTCCATAGTATATCAGTTTGTGTTGGTTTCCTCCCTTGTATTGTATCCGCCTTTAGAATCATCCAATTTCATCTTTCCATATTGTAAATATGGACCCACATTTCACAACAAGAACCATTGTTTGTTAGTTGCTCCTTCAATGGAATTGACGGTGGAACTAGAATACATGTATGTATATGGTCATGGAATTTATACAACTTGTACCAATTTTTCACATTTACACATAATTACCCGAAAGGGGTATAGATTTACTCATCACCTAACCAAATAAAAAAAACTAATTATGAATAACAATAACCGGGTACATAAAAATAAATAAATATATAATAAGTATAATTTAATATATATATATATATATATATATATATGTTTTTTTTATATTTAAGGGCACTTGGGATTCTTCCCGGGTCCACCATAGTAAAAGTAATTACCCCAAACCTTGTTAATACCACCTTGGATGTCGTAGCAATTGGGATGATCAGCAATAACCTTGAGATTAGTGGGAGGGACCAAATTGTTATCCCAATCAACTATTTGGATATTTCTGTAATATGAAGCTTTTGAGAACCCTTCTTCTGCAAAATGCCCACTTCCCATCTGCGTTGCGGTATGGTCCCCAAACGGACTTGAATTTACGATTTCGCCCCCGTACTGCACCATGCTCGCATGATCCCTCAGGTGTGTGAACAAGAACGATGGCCAATACCCGACTAATATACCCGACCCGAATTCTAGCCACCAATTCCCATGCTTCGGATCCTACACCACAATTATATATATTACAACATATATGAGATTTCTCAAAATAAAGATGATGATATGCAGAACAAAAACCCTATCTGTTTGGAATGAATGATTCGTTTTTATTACAATGACATGTCCATTGGAGCGAAGCAGTACAATCACCCTTCAAATCTTTTGTGGGTTTGGGAAATGGTCTTATTGTATTAGGATGATATTCAATTAATCTAAAATCTTTAATAATATTATATATATATATATATAGAGAGAGAGCGAGTATAAAAGCAGATTATGGGTTGAACAAAATGAGTAATTATATAAAATAACAATTTCATAGATGATTTATGTACGTGGGTATATTTTTAATTAAATGCTCGTGGTTATTATGATATGCTATGCTTGTCCAATAAAAACAATATAAACGTAAAAACACCTACAAATATATGGAATAACATCACATGTAAAAGAAATAGTGTTTTTTCTTAAGTAATTACGGTTTTTATCCACCGTAAACTACACGTTAAGTGTCATGGGAATAGAGAAGAAAGGCCCACTGCCTATGAGATTAGACCCATCGCTTAGGGACTTCAATTCGACAGATTTAACAGGCTTGATGATATATTGAGGTGAGGCCACACTTTGCCACTTGCTCTTATACCACTTGCCCACATGGACCCCCCCTCCCCTTCATTGCCCCATCTCTCTGGGGGGGGGGGTTAGATGCATGCATTAATTATGGTTTATGACCCATGTGAGGCTAATTAAATATTCTATTCCCACATTCATGAGCTATGATGTTAGTATTGCTTAGGAGTTTGGTCTGCTTAGCCATTTGGGGACACATCTTTTCAAATAAAGAGAAAATAAAAATAAAAAATAAAGCATGCCTTGGTGCAAAAAGAAAATAGATGCTACTAATAAGTACCCACATCGCGCACTCGAGTCCCTTTCTTTTAATTTATTCTCTCCAAAGAGGCAGAAAAAAAAAAGAAAAAAGAAAAAGAAAGAGAATCTTTAAAGCGTAAAACATAAGCATGCACATACAATACATACATACATACATACATAGATATATCGTAAATTCACTACGGAAGAAATTATTAATGTCCCATTAAATAGAATTTTGCTTGTTTAAGTAGACGAAGTGGTTGGACCGGCACCGGCAGAGATATAATATAAAATAATAATAATAATAATAATAATAATAATAATACAAACTGGTTACCTTCCAAATAAGCAGAGTGATATCGAATTGACCTCCCTCGTAGGACGACGTGGGAGAGATCGCAGCCCCAATTGCGATTTCACTATTGGTTTGGACAAAACCCGAACATAGTAAATTGTAACATCCCGTCGCTTGGTACGCATCGTTCTGTCCAACCATTATTATTATTATTAATTATTATTATTATTTTAAAATGAAATGACGATGTTCGAGTCTGTCTTACTGTCCAATAGGTGAAGAATCTTGGATACTTGTCTCCGTACAGCTCCGGACTCACCTAATTGTGAAAATAATTAGTATATATATATATATCAAATTAGTTTTGAAGTATGCATGCATGCATGCATACATGTACGTGTGCATGTATGCATGCATGTATGATTATTACCTGCCAGCCAGCTTCGATGGTGTTGAGATCATTACCAAAGGAACCAGAAATAATCCATATTTGAGATAGACTGAATTCGTATTGGTTTTCGACTTTCGGAACCCACACGTTAATGCTCGCCTTTGCTCCGTAATACTCGTCCCCGCTCACGTACCCAACCGCATGCTTTTTTAGAGGGGGGAAAAAACACACAATTTTAATGCCAAATTTCATAGGAATTGTTTCATATGATTCAAAAAATATTTGGCCAACAAAATAGAAAAATAAAAAATATAAATCAAAGTTAGCAGAATGTGGTTAATTGGCTAGAGAAGAGGTGCAAGAGTGACATAACTGAGACATTAATCAAAAAGAAGATTTTTGTAGTGTAATAACTATTAGCACTTAAATGTTCTGTTCTCTTTTTTGGGTCCCCGACAAGCTTGTCATCTTTTTTCACAAAACCCTTAAAAGATGGAACTAAAAACAAAAGTAATATAATATATATATATATATATACACAGAGAGAGAGAGAGACTTTGAAATTTTCTTTGACCACTTTTTTTTTTTTGGTTAAGACAACACAAAAGAAAGAAGATCTCGATCTTTCAATGCTCACACAAAAGTTTCAGAGTTTTGAATGTTGAAAGAACATGCAGAGTAAAAAAAAAATATAAAATTATATATTTTTCCACTAATGTAAGTATTTCCTGTAAAACCCCATCACAAGCTTATTACCAAAAAAAATGTTCAAGCTTTGGAGTAAAAAAAAATCCAAAATTCTCTAGAGACATTGTATCAAGATTTGGAATCCTCACATTTTCTGTTAACTGGGCGTTTTTTTTTTTGCATAGACTAGATACTTCAAAGTTTAGTATTTTTAATATGAAAAATAAAACCCCTTTACTAAGTACTCGGAACAAATTAATTATCCGAATAAATAGAATAACAAAATTAGAAACAGTTTTAAAAAATATATATATTATAATTTCAGATCAACTTGTCGTTTGGTTCCCAATTCCTTTGCAAAAAAAATAAAATAATAATAAACTTAAAGTTTAGTTCTTTAAACGTCAATTTATTTTTGAAAAGTTTGAAACTTGATTCTTTCTTATACCCATTTATGTAATATTTTTTTTTTTTTTGGAAATCAAACCAAAAACGTAAGAGATGAGGAAGAAGAGACTTTACTTCATGGCCATTGCTATTGGTGTCTCTTCTGAAGCTTCTGAATTTTTTCCCGAAGCTTGAAAGCGAAGTGGCTCTGAGGACGTCTTCCTCTTTTGTTCTCCGTATTGGAACTGTCCCTTCAGGGCATGACTCTCCTCTCCTTCTCCATAATTGGAACTCCTTCGGTCTCAATCCTCTTCTGTTATGCCCTTTTGGTCTCTCTGGCGGCTCCTGCTCAGTAACCCCACGACAATGTATTAACCTCGAACTAATCAGCCAATTAATTAACTGGTTTAATCAAGATTAACATACATACCATTGGCATTTGCCCTCTTAATCTTGGATGATCAAATGCAGGTTGCTTGTGTGCCAAAACACAGTCTATGATGTCGCCATCAGGACTCTGCAACCAACAACAACAAAAAAGAAAGAAATGAAGAAAAAAAAAGTTTTTTGTGAGTGTGTGTGATAGATGATCTCCTTACATGAATTGTCTTGAGGGAAGGTTTGTTGATGTTCTTGAGATGCTGTCTTACGCTCGTGAGTTTCCTCAGCTCTTCGAGTGGTCTGAATGTTTGGTTTCTCGGAGAAAGATTCGATGTCTCGACAATGGCGGAAGAAGAAGACAAGAGAAGGAAGAGAATGATGATCTGAGAAGGAGGAGACAACATCGCCGTCGTGTCTCCTAATAATAACCAACTGAATCTTCTTCTTCCTCGTCTTCTTCTTCTTTGTCTTCTTTCTCTTGTTGTATCGGTTTCTTCTTCTTCTGATGCATCTGTTGTCTGTACCGTCGTCGAGTATTGATCGAAACGACAATAGCATTTATTGCGGTTTCTGGGTTTCCCCAACAAGAACACAGCTCCCATCAAACCCGATGTTCCTCGAAATGATTAAATTAAGAAAGAAAGAACGCTAATTGATTCTCCTTCGGAGCTCTCACGCACCATTCCCCATGAGATAATTGAGCTTAGAACCAAATCCAAGGTGTCTTTTTTTTCATTCAAAAGAAATGATTATATCTCCAAGCTTCTGTCCCGCTGTTACCTTCTTGTTGGAGTTTTATGTTATCATGACATCATTAAAAATGAAAAAAAAATCTAAGACATGAATATATATATATATATATCTATATATATATATAGAGAGAGAGTGACAGTCAAGTGTTTTGTGAGGTGTATGATATAAGTACTTGGGGTAGTGATGAAATCATTCCGTGTGCCTTTTATTTTTATTTTCCAAGAAGATCGAGGTCTCTAAGGAAAAAAAAAATAAACCAACAAAATCATAATTCCACGACAAGAAGTGACAGGTAAGCAAAATCGACAACAAACAGTTACTGCCTAACATCGACCAATAATAATATATTAGATTTTTTTTATATATATGTTGAGATGGTGAAATAATATATCTATTATATATATATATATATATATATATCTTAGTTTTTTTTATACTGTGATTGTCCAGGTGGGATTCGAATTCTGGAAGTGAGTTGTGCTCCCGCGCCACTAGATCACTACAACTGAACGGTTATATATAATAATTATATATATCTTAATTTGTTTACGAGTAATAATATTTCAACTAAGACCAATCATATACATGGACAAGAACATATATAAAAAGCATGGGTCCAAGAAATCATATGAAAAGATCCCTCAATATGTAAATTTTAAGTATGTGTGTATATATATATATATACACACTC